CCGTATGTTCATTAAAGGATTTTTCAAGTCTGGTTTGTGTTTTCTGTGTCGTTTTTCTTCGCCAAAAATTTGACAAAGGTATGAGTTAATCACGACGCGACAATTGATCGTACATTCAGAGTGAAGGTAGACTAGCTATTGTAAATATGCCTACAGAAATATGACTAAATTTGAACATTTGCCTTTTCTCAATTCACGTATTTGAAAAGCATGCCATTATGCCAATAGCGGAATGTACAGCACGTCTTCCATTTACTCTCTCTCTCTCTCTCTCTCTCTCATGTGACGATGATAATCTAAAAAATACAAAATGAACATGGAAAGTCTGATATTTTAATACTTAAAAGTGCTAGTGTTTCAGAAAAATGGCAATATTTTGAAAAATCTTCAAAAGGAGACAAAAAGGCTGTCTTTGTTTTAAATGTTGTTAACAATTTTCTGAAGAAAGAAAATATTCTACATAATTTTTCTTTTACTTTCTGATTAGGCTTGTCTGAAAGTTTTTTCTTCGATAGTTTTTAAAATGTTCACATTGATTTGTCGCCATAACACTTCCATGAAAATTTTTTTTCCAACGACCACGGTCTTTCAAAGATCTTAAAAAATTAAACATTTCATGGGAGAATTGTGAACAGTAAATGTTAATTGAATATGTAGTCAAACGTCGATTTTTTTCTTTGCTTCCACAAGTATAAACAGATAGTGCTATAAACACTATACAAGGCATTAGAGATAGGCCTACCAAATGGCGTTTTTTTTATTCCAATTTTTTATTTTCATTTATTTCTCTGTACTATTAAACAGCATGAATATTAAAATTACTTAATATATTTTATCACACATGTATTAAGGCATAAAGCAATCTATGTGAAAAATAAAGTAGGCCTACCTTCAAAGGGGAGACAATAACTTTTTATTTTTTGTTTTTTCACGTAAATGAATAACTTGTCATTTGAAAAGTTTTTAGCACGAATGTCGTAATGTATAATTCAACATTGAATTATCACCTGGCGCTGTTTACTCCCAAAGAAAACTATTTCGTAACATCAGCGAAGATACATAGAAATCGTTTGTGAAGAAAGACTCCAACATTAAACAGCGTGTTTTCAGCGATATTGAACATGCGCAAGATTTTTAAAATAAACTTTTCATGTAACTGTAATTTCCCCACATACGTATATGCTCAACTGTTGTTACGTCTACTTAAAACCACACTGTGTATTATTTCCTATTAGTGGGCTCGGGATATTAACGGCGTTGCATTATTTCCTTTATTATATGACCTTCTGTAATAGAAAATTCCGTATTGCCATGTAACGATCATAAACTGTCACAGCATACGTATATACCAGTATTAAAAAACAGAGTGTCCGCTCTTTATAAGATACATACAGGGCAGGGTTAGCTGACGTAAGGGGGTGAAAAACTCGGACGTCCCCGAATCCTGTATCACAAGGGATTTTTTCGTTTGTGATCCCTTGTTTTTGTCTTTTCACATGACTGGAACTTTTAAGAAAAGTCAAAATGTTGGCACTTAACGATTACATTTCATGTGAAACACCACATTTTTGTCACGATGTAGGATAAATTTAACAGGGGGTGAATGCTGGAACTCTTTTTCTTTATTTTTTCCTTTATAATGTTGTTTTATAACATTTTCCATGCATCAGGATTTTATTTTGCCACCAATAAGGCTAATCAAATCATTTATCAGAATGAAATGAAGATGAAAATGATTAGACTTTTGTTTGAAATTTGGATTTCAAGATCAGAAGCAAAGTTGTTACGAAACGACTCTCAAAAATTGAAAATAAGCGACATTTTATTTGACTACTAAAGGCTCGATTACATGTATGTGACCTTCTCTAAGAGAGACAATCTTTTCATTTTTCCACAACAAATGACACTAGCATCCTGAAAAACGCTTATTTCAGGAAATTATTCACGCTAAACGAGACTGCAATAAGGTTAAAAGGCCAGTGTTGCCAAGTCATAATGATCTGTGTATTTAGCCAATTTTGTTCATTTCTTCGTTTATATTAGCTTTTTTTGTGATAAAAAACACAATGATAACAATGCTCATGTCTCAACTACCACAATGAAACGAAACCTGCTAGCCACGAGCTCCATCTGGCGGAGACGGAACGACTGAGCGGGAAAGGAGTAGAAACTTTGGACTAAAAAATGACATTTATTCGCTGGGTCATTTTCTGCCTTTTGATATTCATAAAGAAAAGCAGAGAAACTTGGAGGTAACAATGTAGTAAGAATTTGATCAGGATTTTAAAAAAGTTATGAGTATTCAAAATTGAGCGAGAAGATACTGAAACCACCTGGCATCCTAGCGCATCAGTATCTTTTTTTCTTAGAATTTATCGGAAACTTTTCACTGAATACTAGTGTTTTTAATAAGGACATGTGATACTCATACTGTTTTGTTGTAAAAGATGTGGCCAGAACAGGGATTAAAAATGCTAGTTCAGAAAATGATATCATTCAACCACACTTCATGAATTGAATATCTCAAATTTAACACTGCCAGAATTTACTGATGATTTATGGAGTTTTCTGATTATGATATTTTAGATACGGTAATGAAATTGGGCAATCAGAACTTTTCAACACAAGAAATCCAGTAAGTAACACACTCTTGTTAATACTTTCTGTGAAAATCTACACCTTTAAAGTGTATTCCATCATTTTCTGCCAATGCTACATAATATAAACATTGTGCACGGCTGGTTCCGTAACACCCCATTTCCATAGATTTTTAGATCGATCTATCCCTGTGGGGAGTCTCACTAGATTACTGTCAGCTTGGCTGGCTTAAGCGTCTATCCCGCCTACCGAAAGCTGTAAGGGGGTAATTAACTATGGTGTCCGCTCGGCTGACTGCAATTTAGCCTGAACCCCCAGGGAGTTAGGTCTATCTAAAACTTAATCTTTAGATCGATCGATCTAAATCTCTGGGAAAGCACCCTAACATTTGAATGATTGAAAACAAAAAATATCTGATTGATTTTCAGTGAATTTTTTCTTTGCGATTTGTTAGATCAAGCTAGAGTATTTGGTTGAACAAGATGGAGTAGAGATAGAATGGCAGATAAATGGAAATTGTGTTGTCTCTAACAAGAGGTAAAAACGATTTATTTGCATAAGAATAATAAATCTAGTTTTCTTCTTCACTGTGCATATTTCCTCTATATGGGAAGTTCTGAAATTATTTATTATGGCTAAATCAATGAATAGAGAGGGAACTTTTATCATTTGAATTAAATAAATGTGAACATTTATTTACTATCCCTTTATAAAACATTTAATTATATATTTGACATATTTAAATAATTTTTATTTCTTGTATGACCTGGTTCAGGTTAATGTTATTTATAAATAAGGAGTGGGAAAGATGCTTGAGATAGAAATAATTTTACTTATAGCTTCTGTGATAGTTTTAGTGCTTTTTTCTCAGTTCTCAAGTTGCCTCCCTGACTTGCAGTAAACCAGGACAGTATAAAGTAGATCTTAAGGTCAGGAACCGGTTTTTAATGTTAACCAACCAAACTGTTATTTCACTACCTGATCAGGCAAACATTTTTGAAGTAAAACTTTACTTTATAACTTACTGCACTTATTTGTAGTGAAAGAAATAAAGATTTTGCTTTGTTTTATGATAATGAAAAAGTCATTATTGAATGTTTCTAGCTGAAGATTATTGTAAATAGAATAGGGAATTTTTCTCATTTCCTACATGCTTCTCAGCCTTGTAAACTGCTGTAAATTAACATTTTCTTCAGTTGAACGGCAGCAGCACAGAGGAAGCAGGCCGCTATATAAATGTTCAGGCCTACCACGCCTGTTATCGATGGTACTTGGTTAAAAGCAATAATCAGTAAGGGGTATTGTCTTATTGATTAAATGATAGTTTGGAATTTTTTGTGAGTCCTTTTAAATTAAGAAGACACATCTTTAACTATTTTCAGTAAGTTAGATATGGAGACATGAATACTTTGACAGAACTTGAAGTATAAAAAATTTAATAGCTGATTGGTATCCTTTGACTACATGGGCCAAGCTTGTGTCTTATAGCAATATATTTTTCCCTTTTCACAATATTTGTAAAGTCACTGGTACTTTTATTGTTGAATTTATTTCTCTTTTAGATCTTTATCTGTGAGAATTCATCATGAAAACACTGAATCAACATCAGACCATACCATGGCAAGTAGAGCAGTGGATTTTCAATGTGGCCCTAATTTTAGCCACGGATTTTTAATGTCTCTTTATTAGTCTGGTTTAAGTCACTTGTGAGGAAAATCGGGCATAATATGTATGCATTGAAATGAAGACATACATGTGCTCGTAGCTTTAGGGACTGTTTGTGGGATTTTGGCTCGGAATTTTTTCCTGGTGTTATTTAAATATTTAAAGTGATTGTCATCATTAGATTTAATGTCTTGTTTATGTGTTTTTAAAGGCTTTTTTCATGACTTGTCTAGTAAGCAGTTATGATGTTATCTTCATTTTCACTTTGTTTTAGAAAATCAATAAAAAAATACAGTTTTTTCAAAACCTAAAAATATGATGAAACAGGACTTTCACTCATGATCATAAATGCATTATACATGTACAAAAAAAAAAGACCAATTAAAACATCAAAATGGCTAAAATCTTACAAACAGTACCTTTAAACTTTTGACATTAATTTTTGTCATACTCCTTTAGTTATAGAATGAAATGTCACATTCTTCTGTCTGACTTCAGGATATCTACAAAGTATGGGTTGTGAATGATCAGCATGTATCTGCCAGGGAAAGAAATGGTACAGCCCAGACCCCCTCAGCAGTAAGTATAAATATTGTCCATACTCAGCCCAGACCCCCTCAGCTGTAAGTATAAATATTGTCCATACTCAGCCCAGACCCCCTCAGCTGTAAGTGTTGATACTGTTTATAGATCCTCCATAGATGTTAAGAATGAGATTCGAAATATATGGTGTTTTCATTTTAGTTGTTGAATGATAAATATAAACCTTACAAAAAAAGAAAAAAATCGAATTAAAAGGATTAAAGGGGACAAACTACCTTATTATTTAAAGAAAATTTATTCTGGTGGACGGCTGTATGTCAAAAACCTCAAAATCCTATCCCATTTCTTATGACCCAAGACAAGGTAAAACTTGCATCTTATTTAAATAAACAATTCTTAATTTTCCAGAAATAAACGGAGCAAATTTACATTTCACGAAATTTGAATCTGACTAGCTTAATACCACGCTTTAAGTACAAATAGATAAAAAAGTTTGTTTCAGAAGATGGACATTTGTTAAAAAAAAAAGTTTTAGCTAGCAGGATACATTGTCACCACTGAAGTTCTCAAAATTCAATACCAATAAATTGACAAAAGAGAAACCAATAAACAAAGAAATTTAATGGTCTCAGATGTAAAGTAAGTTAGTCACCAGTGTACATAATATCCCAGCCTTATTCAAGGTATTTGAACTTCTTGACAATGTGATGGTCAGAGTCTGCCACATACATGTGCCCGTCATTGGTCACTGCTATCCCCCTGGGCCAGTGGAGAGGGCTGCCTGTGCTTTCAATACACAACACGAACTGACCGTTGCGGTCAAATACCTGGACTCTGTTGTTATACTGGTCTGCCACCAGAATATGGCCGCACTGGTCAGCTGCCACCCCCTGGGGCCCCCGGAACTCCCCCTTTCTGTGCCCCTTCTGACCAAAGTTGAACAGGTAGTTCCCCACCTCATCAAACACGTGGATGCAGTTGTTTGAAGTATCTGAGACCACGATACTGTCATCATCCATGACACACACACAGTTAGGGCCACGGAAGTTTTTTAATCCTCTTCCGCTGACTGTTTGTATTTGTTCCCCGCTGGTGTCCGAGAGGATGTAGAGACACTTTCCAAACAGGTCTGCTACTATGATCTGATCTTTGCTGTTAATAGCCAGGTGCATTCCACACTGGAAGGGTTGGGTGGCCATGCTCACCTGTTCTCCCGTTTTTGTTAGTTTTGCGATCGTGTTCACACACCCTCCCAGATGCTGGTCTTTCTTCATCAGAGGACAGATGAGCGTGTCGTCAGAACTGCAAACAGCAACCCCCACGGCGTTGTAATCTTTCAGATCACCGTCCAGTTTGAAGTGACTCTTGAAAGTTCCAAGTTCGTTGAAGATCTGAACCCGACATAGCTCGTCGACTACGTAAACATCCCCTGTGGGGTCTACTGTGAGGGTACGAGGAAAGTTGAACAGCCCAGGTTCTTTTCCTTTGCCGCCAAACCAAAGGACAGGATCATTGCTCTGTACGTCAAACTCAAACTGACTTCCTCGTACTGTAGTCTTGTTGTCAATTGGGTTGACGGAGCCGTAGTGCATGCCTGAAACTTGGGGTTTGAAATGAGCAGTGTATGTGCCATCTTCATTGTCTTGAACAGCACACTTGATGACTTCATTGTATTTGTCCCTTATCTCGACTTCCACTGGGTACCCAGACAGTGCCACCTTGCTGCTGCTGGAGAGCGTTATCTCCGCTGTGGACGTGAAGCCTGCTGTGGCGGGAACCGTCTCAACCTGCACCACTGCCGGCAGCTGCTTTTCATCATGGCGGACTTGGATGTATTCCTGGGCAGACGACACATACTCTACGCAAGGACCGCTGTCAAACTCGATGTAATTTTTCCCAGAGTCTGTGTGGGTGTTGTTGTACTCCTGGACCTTGTTTTCCAAGGTTTTGCAGTGTGTTGTTGCCATGGTGACGAGGTTTGGGACATCTAGGTCTCGTAGTGCAGTGTTGTATACTTGTACTGTGCTGTCCATACAGAGGATTTGGCTCTCACAGGAATCTATGTGCTGGTCTAGATGTTTGGATTTCTCTTGAAATTTCTCCTGAATGGTGGTGGTGACTTCCTGGTGTTTTTTCTTTATGACCTGTAAATGACAAAATTACTTCTGTAACTTCATAGGCTGTAAGTAAAATTGATCACTATTGCATAAGTATAATTATACATTTTTTCACACCTTATCTGATCAAAAGCATAACAGTGGGGAAAATGTATTTCCTTTTTAACTTGAAGAAGATATTTAATTAAATAGATATTATATAGTAAAACAGTTGAAAATAAGTATTACCTCCATCATTTTAGCAAATATTTCGTCAGCTTTCTGCAGGGCTGTCTTCTTCGCACTTGCCAACATTTCTTTCTCTGCCAGCACATCTTCCACATGCATCTGCTTATCACTCACCGCCTGTTTTACACAGACGATATCTTTGCGTAGTTTGTCAGCCATGATTTCTCCAGCTTGGTATATGTCGCAGATGTCATGGTCGCTGTGGTTGACCATCGTACCTGATTCTTCAGTGGCTGGAAAGTGGTTGAGTTTTGTGCCACTTGGTGCAGATTTCGTGGTGTTAAAAGATTTTTCGCTGCTAGTTTCATTTTCATCATCAGCGTCAGTTGTATGCTGACTTTGATGATCGTCATCTAGGTCTGTCCCATTGTTGCTTTCTAATTCTTGATGACGTAGGTTGTCCGAGTCGACACTTGTTGTGCTACCATTGTGTTGAGAAATTTCATTGGTTGTGTTGACATTGTTGACAGTTGTTGCCCTGGTAACTGCATGGGAACAGATATCGCAGACAGTTTTTTGACAAGTTTTACAAAACCCTGTAACGTCCTGCCCTGGATGCTCTGAGCAATGGACTGACTGAGAGCCAACATTTCTATGATCTGAATTGTGAATTGTTTCAATTAACTCCACCAAGCCGGTCTTTCCTTTAAGCTCTTGAATATGTGAAGTATAATCAGGATCTTCTCTGTTACGGAACAGTAACAGTAGAGAACAGTCTGGACAGAGCTCATGGTCAAATGGCAGGTGTGTTAACTGAAGGTGCTGGTCAGTGTCTGAGAGGTAGTGTGTGGTACACACCTGGCACACTGAACACCCCTCCTGATAACAGCTATTGTCTGGGCTGTCCATTGTGGGCTGAAAATAGAATTGTTTACGGTCATTGGACAATAAATTTGATCAAGATTAATATTGATAAATTTCCACAAACTTTGTTTTGTTAGTAATATTGTAAATTAAAGGGATAATAACTCTTCGTTTTGGCCAAAAAATGAATTTTCCTGGAGTAAACAACAATTTTCCCATACTTACTAATGGTTAATGAATCCATTTTTACATTCAAAGTTAGTCCCTGGTTTTTTTCTAAAAAGTTGGGTTTTTTGTTAAAATCTCTTAAGAGATTTTAACAGAGTATAGCCATCAATGGAGGTCACGTGGTCTAAAGACAAGCTCAGATATCAGAATAATAGCTATAACTGCCGTTTTTGTGGTAAAACAGAATATATTATATTTCTATGAGTTATTCACAATGTTTTTATTGTGAAATATAGATCTGATACAAAGAGTTATTATCCCTTTAAATGATTCAGAAGTTTTTAAAAGTGATTTGGCTTTGTAACAGAAATTATGTTATTTTATAACATAAATGATTAAGTTTGAAAAAATTAGATATTTAAATAAATTTTGAAAATTTCAAATAATTATGGTATTATTTGGAAGTTGACAGCCTGGTGATTTTTTGGGCGGAGGGGGGGGGGGTCACAATAGCTGTTGTCAATATTTCAACATTGGTTCACATTAAAACTTAATTTATTGCACCTAAAGAATTTTAAAGTTTCTATCTTCAGACTATAGTGTTACTGAGAGGCAAAACCTTCACTTGGCCTTGCTATTACATTCTGTTGTAACTGCCCAGATAGCATGTCTCTGGTGGGTTTTCATGTATAGATGGCGGACCAGTGTGTATGTATGTATGTAGAATAAATGACAGCTTGGATTTAGTTGAACGTCCTGTGTACAAGCTATCTATCAATCAATACCCCACACAGTCCCATCCCAGCCAATCTATTCAGATTATGAAATTTAACTTTGATAATTTCTGCCCCTAAGCCTTGTAACTAAGGCCTATCAAATCAGCTCTTAACAGAAATCGACACACAAGTTAACTTTCATTGTAGCAAGACTGACTCACATCTGGTAGACTAATGTAAATCTCATTTATACACTCCAGTTATATTTTAAATCCCTGAACTGATTTATTTCAGCATGTTCTCAGTACAGTATGCCTGGTATAGCCTGCTTGTTACTATGGCATTTGTCATTAAATGATAAAGTTGTCAACGAGGTAAAAAGCGTAACCCACCTGTTCTGTGCCTGCTGCCCTGTACCTGTGTTAACGTTGCTATGCAGAGAACATTTGTAGACTTATCGATGAACTTGAGATAAGAGCAGCCAATAGTTTGTGCTGAGCAAGGGAAAATCAATATGGCTAAACACTTAAAAGGGTTGCAGTCTAAATCAATAAGTTATGAAAACGATCCGGGATCAATCAATAAGCTGATGTGCACATAGATTATTTTACTAGGGGTGTGGGGGCTGTGAAGTGCAATTTTTCACCCAATGGGCCATGTCGATCTAGCATGTTATCAAGATTTTTGATTTTTACCACAAAAATGGGATCATGCTCAATAAGTTGAATTATTGTCATGGCATTATAATTTTTATCATATCAGTAATGTATGGTTAATAAACGTAGCTTTTCTAAGTGTGATTTTTTAAACAAAAGTTAATTGTTAAACTGAGGAAACATTTTAATGTCTATATTTCATATTGTTGGTGCAAATGTATGCAGTTTTAGGCATGTAAGAAGTACATCAATAAGTTAACAGTCATTATTTTAAAGTTTTTTTTCAAATTCTCATCTCTTTTTTAAATAAATTCCTGCATAATTTCCAGTATTCCCAAGTCCTAAGCAAACAGTTCCATTACCTTGGCCAGCAGCCTCATGTTCAGTTTGCCCTGCAGTCCAAACATATGCCTCACAGAGAGGTCACCTTGCGGGAATTTGACCAGAACTTGGGGTGAGGAGTGTATTTTTTCCTACCTCTGGAAATAACTAAACCTTGTTTTTTTGTTTGAAATATGAAGAAAAGCTTTTTAATGAATCAACTTAATACTGTAAGATATGTTGTCTTTCTGAAGTTTAAAAAAATGGGATTTTTTTTAAACTGAAGTTTGAATAAGAGAATATCATTAAGATGTTTTAAACTGAAATGGAATTATATTAAGCATCTTCAATGACAGTGAAGAGGTTTGCTACTCTCATTCAAGTCATTCAAGTCATTGTTTTTGTTTCTTTCTTGGATATAGGATTTGGGTATTTTCAATTTCTTCCCATCCCGAAGATGTACAAACAAGCTTTAAGATAATTGGCAAACGGCCAGTCGCTGTTTATGAGTGCTTCATAGAGTATGTAGACATCACTTGATTTTATTCCATTTTATTTACTTTTAATTAACTTATAATTACTTTTAAATTTTCTTTTTGCAAAGATAAATCCAAAACTTTGAATGAAATTGATTTTCTTTGTATGTAGATCATTAATATGTAGGGTATGTTAACTATTATTTCATATAATTTTTTTTAATGCAAAGATGAGAAATTTTGTGAGAAGATCTTTTCATGGTCAGAAATTTATTTGTATATTGTTTGTATTTTTAGGGACACATTTATTTTGCAACCAGAAGAGAAATACCAGATGATGACAGAATCCAGAACAGAGGTATAGAATTTGGTTTTCTTCATTTAAAGGTAAAGTACCTAAATTTTTGTTTTACAAAATTGAAAATCTGTTATAAAACCTTGAAAGCAAACCTCAATTTCTTTTTAGGACAGTATTTTCACTGCCAATAAGATCAAGCCAAGGATGATAAAGGTAACAAAGCAGAGGAAGGTCACTGGTATTTGTATTACTGAAGCAAAAATTTAAAAAGAAAAATGAAAATGGTTTTTAGTAGGGATCTGTTGCTTTAAAACAGCAGGGCTTATGAAAGAAATATGAAATTTCTTTTACATATATACCAAATATGCCTAACTCTGTAGGGCCTTTTTCACTGCTTACCACTCTCTAAAAGTTCTTTCATATATATGGCAAGTAGAGTACACAGTAATATATCACATTACAAATTTATATTGGGTAAATATTTGAATACAGCCAACATCTGACCAAGTAAACATGACCATGAAGATAAAAGAACTTGGTGAGAGAAGAGGTCCACGTCTTCATTTTTGCACACGTCCTTATTTGTTATTAAATGTCAATCTATTTCACCATTTTGATCTCATTATGCCAACATTTCTCTCCCTTTCTCCCCCAGGATCCCTGCATGCAAAATGTGGCTGTAGTTTTAGCCAGGTAGTCTAGCTGGTTGTTCTCTTCGGCAGGAGTGTCCTTGTGTGTTGTTCTGCTTATGCTAATTCCATTTGTGTTGTATATTTGGATATTTACTTTGTATTCATTTTATGTTATTGTTTGGTATTGTTGTTTCTTTCTTTAATGTTTTATATTGAGGAAAATACTTGGGAGAGGTTTTGTGATTGTAATTCATGTAAAATGTCTAATTGTAGGGTAGCATTATTGTTTTTATTTTTTTAATTTTTTCATACTCAGTGTTTATAAAAGAGAAAATAATATGAAGCACATAAAATGCATTTTTAGTCCTGATCATTCTTAAACCTTGTAAATGTGGATATTTCGGGACGGATCCAGAGATATTTTCTGGTAGTCTTCCAAATTATCTTTGTTGAACCATCCTCCATTTTTGACCGTCTTCCGGTAGAAAAAAATAGATACGAATCAATGTAAATTTGAAAATCTGACCGTCTTCCGGAAGACCCAAAAGACGGCCTCAATCCGCCTCTGGATATTTTACTGCATTGTGTGCATGTTTGATGTTTGTGTATTGAACTCTATTTACAGTTCTATTTAAGTAATACCTAACTTAATGTAATAAAAGCCTATTGTATTCCAGGGATGAGCTGTTTATGTCCCAGGATAACTTTGCCAGTATCCAGCACCTGGGTGTGCCTGCAGGATTCCAGGTACTCCATTGTGTTGGGATGTTCCCCTGGCTCTCCTAACACAATCCATATGTTAAACTTACTGCACATTACTTGTTTCCATCACACTGGTGGATAAGGGTATTCTGGGTTTCATTCCATTGAAGTTGACATTGTTTTCCTACATACCCCTGCAACCTTCAGGTAAAAAAGCTGATGATCAAGTAAGAAATGGATAATTGGATGGTTTTGTCTTTTTAGACACCTGGAACAACTGAAATGATTTGGAACAAGTTTTGTTCTGTGATGTTTCACAATGTGTTAATTTCATGTTTAAAAACATGTTTTAATGTGGATGATCTTGGTGAATGAATTTGAATATATATTGAATTTTAATTTTAAAGGCAATAAAATAGTAGCATTGGTTCAAGTAGTACAATGCAATTTTGTAGTCAGGAGTGTCCTCAGTAAACTAAATGCTCAAGTTGTAGACAAAGTACCTTTCATTGGTTCACATGCACTTTTACATTTCTTGTGATGCAAGATGTTATCCATTTTACGAGCAGAATTCCTGTAATAGTTATTTTTTTATAAATGGGGAGGTCTGGCAGAGGTCACTAAATGTCATAGCATGCTTTTCTTCCCAGCTCTTGGAAAATGGTCATTTGAATAATTTCTTTCATATGACAGCTTTGTATCAATTTTTATTTCAATCTTAATGATTCTTTGCCCAGGAGACCAAGGGTTATTACTATAAAGGATATTGATATCATTTGATTTCTCTCAGGGCGGCCGGACCATTGATTGGGTGACCTTTATAGATGATCACATTGTGCTGCTGATAAATGGAAGTGTTTATCTCAGGGGGAAAACAAACGAGTCACTCCTGGAAATTGAAGGTAGGTTTTGAATTGATGAATTCTATAAAAACTTGAATTGTGGGAGATATGGTTATCGATAGTGATCTGGTTGTGACTAATGCTTGTGTCAATTTTTTGGATGGGGGTTTCACTGTGATAACCCTTGATCTTATTTACAAGTTTGTTCAAAAGTTCATCGTGTTTATTATGTTGTTCTCTGTGTGACAGTAATTAGGTGAAATCTAGAAAGAAGACTTATAACCTTTGCCCCTCGAAATATTTTGAAATTGTTCAAAATAAATTGAAGAACTTAAATCTGAAGATTTTTATTGAACAAAAACCAGAAATCTGGAAAATATTTTGGAATGCACATGATTTGTTGATTAGATACTATTTCTAGCAACTTTTTAGTCATTGTCTAGCATATTTTTGTTCTAAACCAGATTTTTTGACTAAGCCAATGCACCAATAAATAACTAAAGCTGTTACCAAATTTTTTTTAAAAATTATCCGTTTATAAGGCAAATGTGTTAGTGCATTTTGGTAATCAAGCAATATATTGTTTTGTAATTACAGGTCTTCCAGGTGACATCTTGGGTATCAGGGGCAGAGACACCTGCAGTGAAGGGGTGTTAGCACTGGTAAGTATCACACAGGTAGACAGGGATGGAGGGTGAGGGTGGGGGGTTGAAGAGACACCTGCAGTGAGGGGGTGTTAACACTGGTAAGTATCACACAGGTAGACAGGGATGGAGGGTGAGGGTGGGGGGGTTGAAGAGACACCTGCAGTGAGGGGGTATTAGCACTGGTGTCATGTTGTTAGATACAAGAATATTTATTATTATTGTTTTAGTATTATTATGTAGAAACGTGTCTATGCTTTATTTTCGCCAGAGGGAGAACAGCCACTTTGTAGCCTTCAGTAATACCAAGGTGTATCTGTGTACTGCTAGTACAGTGGAGCAGTTAGAATGGCCACAAACACTACTACAACTAGAGAACCTATTATTACAGGATCCACAGGTAAGACATAGGAACATATGACTACAGTGTTCATTATATGATTTTAAAGTTGTATTATCTGTGTACTGCTAGTACAGGGGAGCAGTTAGAGCGGTCTGAGACACTGCTACAACTAGAGAACCTGTTATAACAGGATCCACAGGTAAGACATAGGACTTCAGTGTTCATTATGTGATCTTATAGTTTTTTAATGGGATTTTTTTCTTGGGGGGTGGGGGGGGGGAACTTTTTGATAAATGAATTCCACTATTCTGAGTAACAGTGATTTAGATACAACCCCTATTTCTTTTACTGTTTGGCCCAAAGTTGACCGAGATTGTATTACTTTGTGATAATAATTTGAGTGGTTGGTGAGAGTAGTAGAATAACAGGGTTTCTGCAAGATTTTGAACACAAGGGTGTGTATTCCTTAACCATTGCTGGACACTGTTTGAAAGTTTGTCTCTTTGTCAATGTTTAAAGAACCCCAAAAAGTAGTGCTGACAGTGGCAGAATTTTGGGTAGTATAATTGCTCAGCCTTGTGTATTTTCAGATATAAGTTGCTGTATCTAAGTTCATCATTTTTTGTTTCATTTCAAGGTTCAGGATGTGGCTTTCAATACATTCCCAGGGTCAGTAGGAATATTGCTAGCCATCAATGCTAATGGACAGTCAAAGGTAATGGGTTCTTCATAAAGGTGCTTAATTGTTCAAACAAACTACCCTTTAATGTTTTTCACCTTGTTCTATAGTATCTGAGTATTGGATTAGACATTAGTTCTCTGATGGTTTACAGTTGTTTTGGGTATTTTCAGATGGTAGACAGGATGAAACACTGAACCAATAATGTTAAGAAATAGTATACGCAGACTGATCAGTTTTTTTTTCCAGGTTATAGTATTGCTGTATAACATATATGAAGATGTTTGGGAGATTACACCTATGTGGATGGATTTTAACATTACAGGTAGGTCTGCCATGTTGGTAATGTATTTGTACTCGGAATCCATAGGTGACTTGTTATTCTTTTTTTTCAAGTTGGTGGTGATTTAATTCATGCTGATCTCTGATTAAAATGATGTCTTATTTATGTCTACAAGATGATGAAATCTTCTACAATTTTCAAGTACCAATAAAAACAAACTTTACATCTCAAAATAACTGACTTGAAAGAGGACATTTTTCCAGGCTGATTTTGGACATTTCCATTGAACATTCTTGGTAAATATACATTTTGGGTATAATGTTCATTTTAAGTTGACCAAAAAAAAAAAAACTGTTTATTTAATGGTTGCTTCATTTAGAACAAATGAAATAATTTTCAGGTCCTGTCTTTTAAACCTGTTTGTATTACAAAGTAATTTCTCCTGACATTTTAAATTTGCTCTCACTTTCAGAGTCTGGCCCGGTGAGTTTCATGTTCCAGGATGCTGGGAAGACGGCTTTCCTGCTCCGTGATTTACACAGACTCTATTACAGCTATGAAGAAGGTAAAAATATTTATAAAACTTTCTTGCATAATTTCATTTTCTTTGAAATGATAAGACCAGACATTTATATCTTTTTGACACAGTTTGAAGTGTGGTTGAGATATTGTGTCTGGTGCGAAATCTGTTTGAGAAGATATATCACTACTCTTTAGATAGACATGCATTGTGTTATTTGAGATATGTGTGCATTGTGTTAGGTGTGATATGTGAACGATGTGTTAGGTGAGATATGTGTACAATGTGTTAGGTGAGATATGTGTACAATGTGTTAGGTGTGATATAAGCACATTGTGTTAGGTGTGATATGTGTACAATGTGTGATATGTGTACAATGTGTTAGGTGTGATATAAACACATTGTGTTAGGTGTAATGTGTGTACAATGTGTTAGGTGTGATATAAGCACATTGTGTTAGGTGAGATCTGTCCATTATTCCAGGCACAGAGAATGGTGTGATGACCTTGCTGAACTGTAATACAAGTGACCTGGTGGAGGAGGGAGAGTTCATACAGGAAGTGACCATTAGTATGCAGCCAACTTCATTCTTTTATTTCATGATTTCAAATTTGTTCAGAAATATATATCAGAAATTTGAAAACTGATGGAGCTCTTAAAAGTGAAAAATAATAATAACATTAATAAAAACCTTAAGTTTAAGATGTGAAAATAATGTGGTTAATAAGAAAGTGTATTAAGATATGAATTAAAACTGGAACCCACCAAAGGAAAAAAAACTTTTTAACTAATATCTTGTACCATGTTTTTATTTGGTTTATCTGATTGCCATGCATCCTGAAAATCCAATTTAATTATCATTATTTAGAAGCGATCTTAAATATAGATTACTTTGGAATAAAAGTTATTGGAATTAAAAAGAAAACTTAATTTTTAGTGTGTCATGTGAGTATTTGTTTATATATTCTTTTTTCAACAAATTGTGATGTGTATATTTCCATCCTGCTCCCACAGGTCCCCTGAGAGAGATCATCATCCACACCTCACGAAATCATTTGTTTCACAGTAAGATGAAGATGAATCAAGTTCTGAAGGTGAGCTAACATTGATTATTTAAAAAATGATATTGATTTGGAAAATTTAACTCGTTTCAAAGAATTTATATCAGAAAAAATAAAAAGGTGAACAACAAATGTTATTGCAAGGAGAATGTTTTGAAGTAGCATATATTTCAGTGACTTGATGAAATACTATTTAGATGTGAGTCCAGGGACCTAGTTGATGAGATATTACTAAGACACTAGGAATCGAGATACGTACTTTATTGTCCTTTGAGTGTGCAAAGATGTCTATTTGCCTGAACTATCATCAAATAAAGAACAAACGTTTGTCTTTCCTTGTTCCATGTTATCTTTTAATAATAATGATAATAGTAATTAATGATGATGATGATTCTGATCATAATGAAAACAGTTGTTTCCATAATGTTGATGCTGATGATAATATTTTCCAGCTGGAGTCAGGAGAACTGCCCAGCTCAGATGTGGTGGTAAGGTTTGATGCTCTAGATAGGATGTACCTGATGGTGTTAGAGAACGGTACCCTGACCAGCAGAATTTATCCACTGAAGAATGAGATAAGCAGTGGGCTTTTTCCTCTACAACAGTGTCCTGTGAGTTGAGATGTGGGGGGGGGGGGGGGG